TCTTTCCCTTGGTGCTAGAGATGGTTAGACCTCTAGGTTAGACTAGATGCATCAACTTTACACAGCTTAAACTGCGTAAAGTTGATGCATCTAGTGAAATACACTCAGGAGTAAAATTTGGAGAGCTTAGCTGTTCTGCTGAGGATGAGAGAAGATTGTCTTGAGGAGAAGGCAGTGGTTAGGATGCGGTTAGGCTGACATGAGTCCTCTAGACTGTTCTGTGCCCACCACCGTCTCTACCAGGTATGATTACAAGAGTGAATTTCTGGGACAGGAGCACTGGCAGCCAAAACTTGACCTGAAGCAGTTCATTCATTCTTCACGTCCCACATGGTAATTGTTCCTGAGTAATGACAGCCTGTTCTTTATTCATTTGGGGAATCCTCTTGACCTAAGGTGAAGGTTTTCAGCATTACGATCCCTCTGCTTATGAATTCATTTTAGCTAGTTCAGAAAATCTGTGGTTAAAAGGGAGCCACCAGGAAAGCGGGTAGCCAAGTGGGAACGATGTAGAAATATTTTCTTCCAATCTAATCTTCTAAGGCACCTTGGGAACCACCCAGGACAAAGATTTATTGGGCCAGGTCTTTTCCTGTACGGAAAATTTCCTTAGGGACAAGGAATTTATCTTTAAAGGTGCCAGTTTATAGCAGTGAAACCTCTAGCCCCGACCATCATCTTTCTTTACCATTTACAGAAGTCAGTTGTCCCTAACTGGGAGGATCACACCTGGAAAAATATAGGAAACCAGAAAAACTTTGAGGAAGAAATACACACCTGAATAGATGATGAGGCTTCTCTCATCCTTACAGGCAAACGACCTTTCTGATGATTAAAAACAATCACATTGTTAGTTATTCTGCTAGGAGCAATAATATGTAACCAAGCATAACCGGTACAGTATTAACGTGTAAGGTAGGAAACATTAGCCTCAAGTAGCAGACAGACAGGAAGAGTACAAATGCACTTCATTTTTCACACTTGGTTACTTGTTCACATTCACAAAATGTTAAGGCTTTAATAAAACAAGCAAATATTGATACAGCAAATTAGGGGATGAGCCTTTCACATAACAAGCCTGGATTACACTACAGTACAAATCATGCCTCAGAAGTTATAGATGAAACGGTTTCCATTGGGAGAATCAATACAGTGGCTCTGCATCCCTAAGTACTCTTTGCCTCATCCAGGTGTCAAATCATCATTCTTCTGCATGGTAGTCAGGCTTCAGGATTTGTTTTCAGATACATGGATTTCATGTCTTTTTTTGGATCCAGGCCCTTCGTTTCTTTCATCCATTCTTCCGTGCTCACTCTTTTTGTTTTCATTTGTATTCAGTGTCAATTGCTACATCTGGACCCTCACAGTAGAATCATGGGTCAAAATAAACCTAAGTCTTGTGGCTTGCATTTACTTAAACGATGAGCTCTTGGGAGCAGCGGCTGCTTTTTGTTCTGTATTTGTCTAGCAGTATGCATGGTGGGAACCTGGTAAATCCCTATGCCTCTCCATGGTACTACACTACAAAGGACGTCTCACAGTTATTCAGTGTTTGTGTGCACTGTGCAGAGTCACAAGGACATCTGTAGTATCACTAGTCCCATGTAGTATCCTCCTGCTGATGTTGTTCGCCTCTACTCAAACATACTGTTTGGGATCTTACCCCTGTGTTTTGGGTTACAGCTAGCATGATTCTCACCGACACCGGTTATAACTAGGGTGGTTTATATTAGGTCCCTCATATGGCTTTCAGAGCCTACGTTGTCAATAAAGGAGCCTGAGTTATCTAGCTCGAATGGAGATACTGACAATGGATGAGACAAGATCACAAAGTGATATTTATCAGCCAAGTTTTCCTAGTCTGTGTCTATGCTAAGACACCCGCTTCAGGAGATGAACTGTGCCTTTGGCTGGATCACCTGCATGGGCTAAACCTCCACTGACTACATGGAGCCTTGAGAGAACTCAGTGGGGTGGAGGAGTCTTCAAGGACTGAAGGGAATCCCATCATTGATCACTTGCTGCATTTATCTAAGATATTAACTCTCCTCTTCCTTGTTACAGCTTCATCAGCTAAACCATGTACATGAACTCTTTGGTATCATGGGAGTTCAAAGTTAATCAGTTCTTACAGTCGGCTACGGTTTAAACTGAACTGGGTGTGTGCTAGGCAGTGGACTAGAATCCTTTAATGTAAGACAGCTGTGTGACAGTACCTTGCAGCTGAGGCCAGAATAGGAAACAGCTGGACGTGATAATGCATCCATATGCTCCTGCTAGATCCAAAAAAGCCTGACTCTCTCTATAATCAGATTTGAAAGCATTGTGAAGGTCACCTTAATTAGATTCTTATTAGGCTTCTGTTCCTCCAGTTGAGACCTTATTGCATTAAACTAAATTGCTGCAAGCCAGGCTTAAGAACAATTATACACTGTTTCATACCAGTTTCACTTCACTTCACTGTTTTATAAACATGCAAAAATTGAATTCTGGGTCTTGATTTCAGAAAGACGCAATAGATTTGAATCAGGATATATAATTTTAAAATCAAACATATGAATAAGGGCAGAGCTTACTATAATCCCAAATCAGAAGTGCAAAGTAGGGAGAGTCCAGCCTTTGGGCTCACCATAGATGGTTTTGTTGCTGAAACGTGGCATTTCAAACCTGCTTTAGCATGGGTAAAGTAGGCATTCACTTAGGGCAATGGGTTGCCAAGGGGAAACAGAAGGCCAGAGCACCTACTTTGCCTGCCCAGAGTCCTTTCAAGCCTGGCTGGCTGCAGCTGCTGGAAGTAATGGGGTGTGCAGGAGAAGGTGAGCAACAAAACGGGAGCACACAAATGGGCTGCTGGGGGTTGCAAAGCAAATTCCCCTGCCAACTTCTGTCTCTGCTGCTCAAGACAGAAGATGTACTTTGAACTTCCTTCTTCAGCGTGTGCTTTCTGGTAACAAAACCAGCATCAAAACATCATTAAAATGAAGTGCTCATGTGCAAATATGGGTTCCCTCCCTGAAGAGAGAATAAACCTTTCAGGTTAGGGCTTAGGTGTATTATGCAGGTGAGACTCCCTTCACCTCATCCGAGTGACCTGCAGTCTCTGAGATGGCCATCTTAGACTTTTTTTGCAGACAGAAGACTGAAGAGGCACTTTTGGGTTACGATTCACCTGACCTGTTCTAGATGATCCTAGGTCATTTAGATTGAGATGAGCTGTTCCCAAGTTTGCTCACATATACAGAACAGTGCGTTTATCTACTTCAGGACACTTTCACTGGAAAAGCAATTGAAGGAAGTTGCAGCCTCCACCTTCTTCTATGAGCACCATTCAGGCCGCATGAAGGAAAAGGTGCTGTGTCCTTGGGCACCCAGGAATGACGTGGGCAAAAGAGGCACTACCAGGGAATAGAATGAAATTTTACATTGGAGTTCAGGTGGCATAAGAGGAAGGAGGGATGATACTGCTTTGCTTCTCAGAGTGTATCTTCGAAGACATATAGCATGTCCCTCATCTGTCCGGGGAAGCAAGTGTATGATGTTAATCTTGTCTCAGAACAGAAGTAGTTTTAAATACAGATGAGCCATACCATAGTGATGGTAATAATGATGAAGTTGATGAAGACATAAGGTCACAAACCTTAGCAATGACCAAAGAAAGCAGGACTATTTCATTTCTCCCACCATGGGAATAAGATTTCTAAATGACATTCAAACACAGCATGTTGATAACCCACCTCTGGCCATTCACCTGTCTTGTCTTTCTTCTTTGCAGAGCCAACGCTAATCTTTTTATTTCGGTGAAGTAAAAACAGCAAAGGAACAAATATTCAGGCTCATATTTTGGGGCTTCGGCATTCTTTGGATTTTGTCTTTTTTTGTGAGTGAATAGCAAACAAGGAGAAGAAGAAGCTGCAGGACCTGTGAGTGAGAGCTTAATAGAAGCCTAGTCGGTGCCTGGAGTCCAAAGGACAATTCACTTGCAAGGTGCGTGAGAGGCTCGGAAGCCAGAGAAGGGAAAATGTTGCTAGAGTGTTCAAAAAGCTAATTGCCTCTGTGCCAGTTTGGTATTGTTCCCTCTTTTTCATCTCCAGGAATGTTGTTCCCCCTGAAGGGAAAGCAGAACACAAGACAAATTGGGACTGTATGGCTCTAAAACTGCCCAATGCACACCCACCCCTAAATACCGCATACATGCACACATATGTGCACGCACTTACCTGTGTGTACATAAAATGTGTACATAAAATGTGTGGGAGAAGGGACAGCTTTAGACTAGTTTTCTCAGGACAAATTTTATGCGAACTTAGGAGCAGAACTGTGTCCCCCCCCCCCAAAATTTCTGAACTTTTTTTGTACAATTTCAGCTCCTTCTGACAAATCCAAAGAAGTCTTAATGATAGTAAGTTCCTAAATTTTTGTGCAAATAATAAGGGAGAGGAATTACGAGTGCTCTCATTGAGAGAAAATCCTACAGAACTGAGAGAAAATCCTACAGCTTGACATATATTAGACCCCAGCGACACCTATACCTATATAGGAGGTTCTCTGCGTTAGATATATACCTACTGTGTCATGGGAGACACAATGACTCTCCAGGACTGAATAAATCTCTGATGTTTCTAGAGAAGACAGGAACAGTGATTCTGCTCCACTCCTATGCTACATGTGGCTCATGTTGATGGGGCAGATCCATGGCCTAAGAATTAATTTGTAGCAGGGTTCCTCCTTCTCTCTCATCCATCTCCTTCTGGACTACCCTTATTCTGGTGCGACTTACATTCCCTACGGAGGAGTTGACCTGCTGTTCGGGACGTAAAGTGGCATAGGCATGGTAGCAGGAGAGTGAGAGATGGAAGCTGAGAGGGCAGGTAAATCCAGTAAACCAGTAAATTTGCACTTGATCGCTGATGTTAGTTTGCTCTTTTTCATGCCGGGTCTGATCAGCCTTGAGCTCTTGAGCAAGGCAATGAGGCCTACAAGTCAGAGGGTGCAGAGAGAAGAGAGCAGGAAGATGGCATGACTAATCTGGTAGAAACCATGTCTGGGAGCCTTGAAAACTCCATGATCTGACTAGGGATCTTCCCCCACCAGAAGAGGGCACGAGATCAGAGCCTGACTGTGTAGGGCTGTCTATCTGGGAGCCTGAGAAAAGGTCAAATAGCGTGAGTCTGCTGGGCATAGTTAAATCTTTTTGCTATCAGATCAGCAAGGTGATGCTGGAAGGAAAGGGAGGTGCATTGAGCAGAAACTGAGGGGGAAGGTTTAGAAGTAAGCACAAGTAAAAGCCGGAGTCACACAAGGTGGCAGTGCAGATTGTCAGCAGGGGTTTCTGGACATTAGCAAAAGGCTAAAAACAGCCCTGTGAATGCAGACACAACAGGAGAAACTAGACACCCACTGATGATTTAGCTCCATTGACTTTACCGGAGCTTCGCCTACGTGGCTCAGCTCTGTCTAGGATCCATAGTTAGCACGCAGGATAACTACTAATTATTCTCATGGTTTAATGACCGTCACTTTGTTTCTATCCTGAATCGATCTGGCTTTTCCACCGTCATTCTTTCAATGCTATCATTTAGATCAGCCTGAGGGTGATCGGTACCTCAAAGACCACAGACTTGCAATGCGTTTGTGAGACCAGCTGAGGTGTCAGTACCAGAAGTGAGCCCACGTGTCTGAGATGATGTCTGTGCTATCGGTGCGGGTGGATTCTGGTAGCAGACTGTGCTCTGCCCGCTTTGTGTAGGCTGCCTTGTGCAGGGAGCTGGGATGAAACACAAAGTAAGGTAATCTAACAGCGGAATTGTGTCCTGAGGGAAGCAGCTTATTACCATACAAACCTCTAAGCTGACATAAACACTGTACAGGGCTCTGTGCTTGCATCAAAATAAATAAATAATTAAAAGCGTCTAGTGATCGGCAGGTGGGAAAAGGTCCAAAGCCACCTTTTTCCATGGAAGAGCCGGATGTTATCAGGTTTCAGTAAAGGGAGGTTTCTTGCATGAACTCATGACAGAGATTTCCTCACAGCTTCCTCCAAAATTTTAATCACCGCTTGCATTATTGGCTCCAGAACAGGATGCCGTGCTCCAGGAATTGCCAGGTCTCTGTTAAAGAAGAGCTGTTAATTTGACTTCACTGCTTTGATTTAACTTCCAAGAGTACATGCGATGAACTCTCATAGCCTTCCGCCCGTGAGAAGAACCATTCACTCAATTTTGAGCATGTCTAGGTATGTTTTTAAGCTGAAGACCAGAGAGTGGATAGGCAGAGAGTGGATTACTCTGTTTCTTTGCAGATGCAGTGTAGTTTACAGATAGCCTTCAAAAGTTTGTGATTTAAACTTCTCCCTATTGTGAGCGGTTTATCTTGGTGTGAAAAAGAAGTCAGGTCAGGCTGTAAAGCAAACAATAGCTCCTTGCTCATTTTGTCTTTTTCTCCAAGTGATACTGTTACAGAGCTGAAACACTGCTGGTGGTACTCATGGTATGGGCTGCTTCCCACCGAGAACATGACTGAATATTCATTTCATATAAATCACCAGACAGATGCTGTGTGAGAAACATTTTTGGTTCTTCCCAAGATTTGAACCTGCACCATATGCTGTGCTACCTGTAATTTATTTAATCATTGCTTTTGGGTGTACCAGGTAGTGACTGAACAGTACGGCTTTTTGGGGGAATGGTTTTGGAGTTCTGCTGAAAGGAGAGTTTAGGCAAGCTCCGTAATCATGTCTTGAGGGTGCATTTGGGAGCAGAGCCTGGAGTGCCTGTACAGTCCACGGAGAGAGGTGATCATGTCTCCAGATGTGGATGCATCTCCCCCTCAGCTGATTGCATTGGGACTGGAGTCTAGGAGCTCTGGGTGGTACCTGGGCCTTAGACACCACTGCAAGTTACCCTGGCTGTGGGTTCAGCTGCCAACAGGTTACAGCTGTGGTGGATGCAAAATTTCCTTTCCCCCAGCTCATGGTCATTGCTCCTTCATGTCTTCTAGTGCAGCTGCACTAGTAGCCAGCCCCTTACTCTGTCATGCCAAAATTATCTAGGGTAACTTAGAAACTTTAGTAAATATACTGTCAGGTGCTCTGGCAAATCCTACACACGAAATGTTTCAATGACCTTTTTTGTTATAATTGTCATTTCTTTAAAGCTCAGCTCCCATGGAACTACCTAAATGAAGAGTGTCACTGAATGAAGAATCTTCCATCCCTGAAATACTGAAAGGATGATGGCAAGCCTTAATGACAAAGCAACAGATGTGGCTGCAGTGAGGTCATGTGGATGTGTAGCTGTCATCATATCATACCGGCTGTATGGGCCACAGAAGAAGTTGTGAGCAGAAGTTTCTTCTCATGGAAGCAATGCCAGGGTTTCACTTTTTAAAATACGGCTCTTGAAAGCTGAAGACACCAAAGACAGAAGAAAAAGTTGGAGGGAAAGCCTGGGGGCAGGAAACCACCTTTACAGCTTCTGGGATTTGTCTCAGCTCCTGAAATCAAGATCCAACGATTACCTCAGGACTGTTTTCCTCAGATTCCTGTTCCCAAGCTCTTAGGAGAAATTCCTGATTTGTTGAAAGGTAGATAGACAAATTGGATCAACAGCACAAGTTTAGAGTTCGCTATGGAGACTGTGAAACCTCTGACCAACAGCCCCAGGAGATTAAAATGCTTATGCTCAACTTCTTGAAGTGTAAGTTAAGTTTTGGTTGCTTGTTCATGATTTTACTGCCAAAATACAACAATAATAATAGTAAAGAGGCAAAACAACTTCTGCTTGGAGTGCTTTCTGGTGACTAGTCCAATTTGCATAAACTTTTTTGATTCCATGTCATTCTTTGGTTCGGGGCCATGTTTCGTGCTCCAAGAGGGAGCTGAGAGCTGAGAGCGCTCCTCCAGCAGTGTCCCCTGAACAGCTGAGGTGGAGACAGCAACAGAGCACAACAGAAAGCTGAATTTATTAGGTGACTAGGCTGCTGAAAATTAGGAAAATGGCATTCTAGCGAACTCTCGTGCTCTGCCAACAACAGGAGATGGTAGCAGTAGAAAGAGCAGTGTTGGCCTTGGAGGCTTATGCACTCTTTTCCATTTGATAATAAAATAGAATAGAACAAAATGAAATTTATTAAGATAAAAATAGGAATTAATAGATTTCTATCAGGGGAATCAAGTTCGCCTGCTATAATAAGAAGGGTGTTTCTGGAAGCACTTGCAACATTTCAGCAG